CTGCGGGGAGATCAATGTCAACACGACCACGAATAATGATAATGACGACCGCGATAACGGTGAACGATTTACCCCATATAAAGGCCCTCGTTGACTCTCGAGACGCTTTCCAGGAGGATCCTGCGTGAGGGTGTTTGGCCCCAATGCTCTGTTCGAGAGTGTTGAGTCGGACGACGACGACGCCGTCGGAGCGAGCGAGCGAGCTGTCGACCCTCGGTCACGGAGTGCGCCCCAGAGGAGAGAAGCGGTCCCGCGGGACGACGCTGGCACGGACAATGACCCCGAGCGGGCGATGGGGTCAGCTCGTGTGGTAGATGGGAGGTCGACGGGGGCCTCTCATCCAGCAGTGGATCGAGCGTGCCGCGGTGTTGATGTGCAAATGCACACGAAGCCAACTCAGCACGAGCAAAGCCAACACGTCTCTACTACCACTTGTCTCTACTACCACGTGTCTCACTAACACTTGTCTCACTACCACGTGTCTCACTACCACTTGTCTCTACTACTACGTGTCTCACTAACACGTGTCTCACTACCACTTGTCTCACTACCACGTGTCTCACTAACACCTGTCTCACTGACACCTGTCTCACTACCACGTGTCTCACTACCACTTGTCTCACTACCACTTGTCTCACTACCACTTGTCTCACTACCACTTGTCTCACTACCACTTGTCTCACTACCACTTGTCTCACTACCACGTGTCTCACTAACACCTGTCTCACTGACACCTGTCTCACTTGTCTCACTAACACGTGTCTCACTACCACGTGTCTCACTACCACTTGTCTCACTTGTCTCACTAACACGTGTCTCACTAACACGTGTCTCACTACCACTTGTCTCACTACCACGTGTTTCACTACCACTTGTCTCACTACCACTTGTCTCACTTGTCTCACTACCACTTGTCTCACTACCACTTGTCTCACTACCACTTGTCTCACTTATCTCACTACCACTTGTCTCACTACCACTTGTCTCACTACCACTTGTCTCACTACCACTTGTCTCACTACCACTTGTCTCACTAACACTTGTCTCACTACCACTTGTCTCACTACCACTTGTCTCTCTTACACTTGTCTCACTACCACTTGTCTCACTACCACTTATCTCACTACCACGTGTCTCACTACCACTTGTCTCACTACCACTTGTCTCACTACCACTTGTCTCACTAACACTTGTCTCACTACCACTTGTCTCACTACCACTTGTCTCACTTGTCTCACTACCACGTGTCTCACTAACACGTGTCTCACTACCACTTGTCTCACTACCACTTGTCTCACTTGTCTCACTACCACGTGTCTCACTAACACCTGTCTCACTAACACGTGTCTCACTACCACTTGTCTCACTACCACTTGTCTCACTTGTCTCACTACCACCTGTCTCACTAACACGTGTCTCACTACTACGTGTCTCACTACCACGTGTCTCACTACCACTTGTCTCACTACCACGTGTCTCACTACCACGTGTCTCACTACCACGTGTCTCACTACCACTTGTCCCACTTGTCTCACTAACACGTGTCTCACTACCACTTGTCTCACTAACACTTGTCTCACTACCACTTGTCTCACTACCACTTGTCTCACTTGTCTCACTACCACGTGTCTCACTAACACCTGTCTCACTAACACTTGTCTCACTACCACTTGTCTCACTACCACTTGTCTCACTACCACCTGTCTCACTACCACGTGTCTCACTACCACGTGTCTCACTACCACGTGTCTCACTACCACGTGTCCCACTTGTCTCACTAACACGTGTCTCACTACCACGTGTCTCACTAACACGTGTCTCACTTGTCTCACTACCACTTGTCTTACTACCACCTGTCTCACTTGTCTCACTACCACCTGTCTCTACTACCACGTGTCTCACTACCACTTGTCTCACTACCACGTGTCTCACTACCACTTGTCTCACTTACACTGGTCTCACTTGTCTCACTTCCACTTGTCTCACTACCACTTGTCCCACTAACACCTGTCTCACTAACACCTGTCTCACACCACTTGTCTCACTACCACTTGTCCCACTTGTCTCACTAACACGTGTCTCACTATCACTTGTCTCACTTGTCTCACTACCACTTGTCCCACTACCACTTGTCCCACTTGTCTCACTACCACTTGTCCCACTTGTCTCACTACCACTTGTCTCACTACCAAGTGTCTCACTACCACTTGTCTCACTAACACTGGTCTCACTTGTCTCACTACCACTTGTCCCACTTGTCTCACTACCACGTGTCTCACTAACACCTGTCTCACTACCACGTGTCTCACTACCACTTGTCTCACTTGTCCCACTACCACTTGTCCCACTACTACTTGTCTCACTAGAACTTGTCCCACTACCAGCTGTCTCACACCACTTGTCTCACACCACTTGTCTCACTAGAACTTGTCTCTCTGTGTGTTTAGTGATCACTGACAATGCCTTTCCACTATTGCGCAGCTCAGCTACAGAACTAAAGGCCGCGTCCCGAAACGTCGATTTTTATAACATCTATTTTTTTACTTTTTTACGGCCACGGCGTTCTGTTGAATATCGTGGCGGGTTTCTTCTTCATCCTCCCCCCTTGGTGTCAACGCTTCGGAGCAACACATTCTCCTGCGGAAGGAGCTGGTAGGAACGTTGGGTTGCTCGGTCAATGGCCAGGGTCAAGGGCGGCACCACGTGGTGTATTCCGTAAATATGCCCGACTGAGAGGGCGGGCACAAGCCGGCGTGAGTAGGTTAAACGTTGAGTTTTATAAGGGCACCACGGGGTGGCCAGCCCATCCCCACCCAGCCCCACCCCTCCCACCCCCCACCCAGCCCCTCCCTCCCCACCCAGCCCCTCCCCACCCTCCCCTCCCCACCCAGCCCCTCCCCACCCTCCCCACCCAGCCCCTCCCCACCCTCCCCTCTCCACCCAGCCCCACCCCTCCCATTTTTGGATGCACGACGGACGGACGGACACAATAATCCCCTGTGGGCTGGTGGTGTAGTAACCAGGAGGTTCCTACCAGTATTAAATGTATCAATCAGACCCAGGGTAGCCGCCACAGAGACACGCGTGTCTCTTAGCGGGGAGGCCCAATATTCCTGCGTGGACCACGCTGCATGAGTGACCTCCGTTTTAATCGTTCCGGGAAAAGTGCATATCGTGCTCCTCTCCACCGGTTCGCCTAATGTGCCAATGATATATTTATGCACAGCCCTCGGGGCCGCGCTGGGTTTTGACTGCCGTGCCGTTCGTTACAAGAGGGTCAGCGTACAATGAGCCAGGATATATACCGTGTGTGTGTGCGTGCGTGTGTGTGTGCGTGCGTGCGTGTGCGTGTGTGTGCGTGTGTGTGTGCGTGTGTGTGTGTGCGCGTGTGTGCTACTGGCCTCAGTGGAGGAGGCTCGTGAAGTACGCCGCTACTGGGCAGTTGGAGGCAGTCGCCCTTCAACAACAACGGAGGGCGGAGGAGCGCCGCTCACAACAACGAGCGGAGCGCCGGTGGCTAAAGCACAGAAAGTTGGCACAGTAGGGGGCACAGGTGGTGCATCAGCCAGTCATCTCAGTCAGTCGACCCGTGGCACCTGCTGGGTCTGTCCCGTGACCTCCTGCCAGCGGGCGTTCGACACTTCACGTGGCCTCAAGGTGCACATGGCCTGGCACAAGCGTCGTGGTGACGTCACCGCCACTTAGTGGCGAATGGCGGTTGTTGTTGTTGTTGTGTGTGCTACGCTGTAATGTTTCATGTGCGACCCACAGCTGTAGCTCACAGAGAACCGGACCACAATAAGGGAAATGAACCGATAATGCGTGAAAAAGTTAATGCTGTGTCACGCACGTGTTGCTGTTAGAAATAGCTGCTAAGTGCAGGAAGGATCTGTGCCCCGTGCAAACATCGTCACTGCAACGCTGATTGTTGCTCTTCGCCCATATACAGCGCGGTCTGGTTAGTTGGGCTCAAACATGCGCAGTCAATGAGCTTCTCCCTCGCTCGCTGTCTCTCCCTCGCTCTTTCTTGCTTGCGAATGATGCCGCGTGGTCTTTAACGTCCGCGTTGTCAGACGACGCTTTGGTAATTCTCCGTCGATGTTCGTGATGATGATGATGATGGTGACACAGAGCGCCTGGCTGCACGAATCTAACCGTCACCGTGCTTGCAGGGGCAGCTCACAGACGCAGCACGTGGCCAATTCAACATTGTGACCTATTGTGGTCTCCAGAAGAAGAAGTTACCTCCCTCCCTCCCCTCCCCCTCTTTCCCTCCCTCCCTCCCTCCCCTCCCCTCTTTCCCTCCCTCCCCTCCCTCCCTCCCCTCCCTCTGAGATCGTCGTGTAAAAGGTTATGACACCGCGTTCATATTCCGATATGATCGTGTTTGATCTGCAATTCTGATACGGGGTTCTGAGACGTATTTCAACTTCGCCGCGATTTATTTCCCTCGGGGGTGGGGCCACAGCCCGCGTTAGATTATATCGGTTTCGAGCCGAGTTGTGACTTCGTCCTGGTACAACAGCGCTCGGCGTTATTTACAGTGACACAAAAAGCCGGCGTTGTCCCCGCGCGCGTGGCCTCGCCGTGATTAAATGGGTCCGTCTCGCATTTTCAGCGCTTGTTTTTGTCGACGGACACAAGGGCGTTTATTGATGTCGCGATGCATAGACCCTAGTCGAGAGCGTTCAATTGCCTTCGTGCAAATTAAACACGCGTGTGCGCCCTGTGCGTGCGTGCACGCGTGTGTGCGTCGACTTACAATTCATATATGCGCGCGCAATTACACACAATCACACGTGCACACGCAGGAAGGGCGTACAGGACCGTTATAATTGAGACGTACGGTGCGTCTGTGTGTGCGCGCGTGTGTCTAGTCCGTCCATCATTGCGTATAATAACAACCCTGCGCTCGCCTATGATCCCACAGTACATTGGCCTGCATCCCTTCCACCACCCATCAACGCTCGCCCCTCCCTCTAGCCCTCCCACACGTCTTCCGACAACCGCCTTCCCCGCTCCCTGCGACCAGCCCACCGCAAATGAGACCCAGAAACAAGGGGGAGAGGGCGTGCATTGAGGTGCGCCTGCCAGCGTGCGAGAGAGAGTGCGTGCGAGAGAGAGAGGGGAGCGAGCTGGAGAGAGCGAGCGAGCGAGCGAGAGAGAGACAGAAAGCCCGTACGACTCTGTTGAGACAGCGAGACGGGACGTGCACCGCTGCGTGGAAAGCGTTAACGCTGCCCGGCCGCTCAGCACCACGGACAGCGCCCGGTCGCTGAGGATATTGCTGTGCCGTCCTTAGGCTGCTGTATATGGTAACACGGCATCCTCCTGCTACCGCTGCTCCTCGTCCCGTTCGCCTTCAGCGTCGTTTGGAAGCTGCTTCTTAGGCAAGACAAGAGTTTTGCATCACTTGCGATAGCATTGTAGGCGAGTGAAACTATATATTGCTATTTTGTTGTGGTCTGTGTGTGTGTGTGTTTTTTTTCATCCCCTCCTTCAAATTGGATTTTGTCGGTTGGCTATTTGTGCTGCGTATTTGGAGAAAATCCGTGGCTCCGAGAGGTTGTGCCGAAGCGGACTGTCTCCTCCTGACCGTAACCGCCGCTGCTTTCTGCACCCAGCTAAAATCCGGCGTCGCTCAACGCAATTTCAGATCCCTAAGCCTATTAGTACGACCGCAGTAGGAGTAGTAGGAGTGATGCTAAGCATTGTTGTCCGTAGTATGTTGGTAAAACATTCCTAGCACTTCCAAGTGAACATACTCTTCCTCGGTGCAAATGGATAACGCCGTCGATTATTTTGAAGAAATATTTTGCTAAGATACTTTGTTTGCTAAGGCGAAAACATTGTCCGGTGATTCTGAGTCGAGTTGGATATGATTATAATTATTATTACTTTCCGTGCATTTTTTTTAATTTAATTAAAAATTTTGCTCGCCCTACGATCGTTCAGTCGTGCAGGCATCACCGTGGCTCCGATCGCATCGATTCGCTTTTGGATCCGCTGCATCGCTTCTTAATTCACCACACAAGGAGGACTCTAACACCGCCAAGGCTCTCTCTCGCGCACACGTGCACACTGAAGGCGCGGTTGGCGACGTACGGAGCGAAAGAAGTTCAACATACATACAAAGGACGCCTCTCGCTCAATCACACAACTGCTACTGTTCCTACTACGACTACTACAACTACGAGACTCAACACTGGGCGTGAGTGAGTGAGCGCGGAGGAAATAGGAAAGGAGAGGCGAAGAGAAGGGGGGGGGGGGGGCGGGTGTTGTGGGGGGGTCGATTTGCACCGCGGTTGCATCCCACTCCTTCGTCTGACGTACGTGGATGGGAGCCGCACACTACGTTTGAAGCCCATGGCAGAAGCGCCCTGCACCTCCTCGTAAAAGTGAGTACCGTGCGCCCAGCGCACCGCCATCCGAGTCGCGCCCATCGGCACGGTCGCGCCACTAACTCGTGCGTACGGCCGGGATGAAGAACGAACGAGGGGTGGGAGAACGGCAGCTATCGGGCCAAATCTGTGCATCGCGCTCGTTCGCATGCGTCTCCGTGAACGCCTCTCGGTGTCGGTAAGAGCTGTAGCCCGCTCGAAGGTGGAGGAGACATGCATGTGTAAGGCGATTACGGGCCGTGTCATCCAATGCTGATGATAGCTGCTGCTGTGTGTGTGTGTGTACGTACCATCTATTTATGGAGAGCGGTGGCGCAGTGGTTAGCGCACTTCACTGTTCATTATAAAATAAACTCTTCGCGTTAAGTTTGATTGCGGGTCGTGGCTAGCAATAAGCGGGCTCGTGGTATCGTGCATTTGTTGTTGGCATCCCCCCCCCCTCTCCTCCTCCCCCTCGGTCGACTCAGCCTTTAAATGCGTTCACGGTGCGATGCGAAAATTATCATCACTGGGGAGAGAAAATCGGCCGCGCGTCGCGGTGTCCACACGCGCACAGAGCACGCCGTCGTCCGCCTTACTTAATAGGCGCTCGCTAAGGGCGCTCTCCACGCGCGTATGCCGGGGCTACACGGGAGACCTTCGCCTTTGCGTTGCCCATCTGCATCCTCGCAGTGCTGGACACAAGCCGCTCGGCGAGTGTGCGCGATATTGAATGCGTTCGCGATCGTTCGGGATTCATCGACGTGCGTGTAAGTGCCTATTTACGAGCGATCGTAATGCGCTAATGAACATATGTAATGCGTTAAATGGCTCGGATGAGCGCTACGCCTGATTAATATTTCCGTGCCCCCGTCCTCGGATACCGCCGTGCGCTCTGCCCACCGAGGGCCAAACTGCCGCGGGGCAATGCCTCCGCCGTCGCTGCGACGTTGCGACGACGGCGCAAGCGCGTGCGTCCGTGCGCGTGCGTCCGTGCGCGTGCGTCCGTGCGCGTGCGTCCCTGCGCGTGCGTCCGTGCGCGTGCGTCCGTGCGCGTGCGTCCGTGCGCGTGCGTCCCTGCGCGTGCGTCCGTGCGCGCGCGTCCGTGCGCGCGTGTTTGCTAAGTAATGCTTCCGAGCCTTGAGACTCATTCTCGGGAGGGTGCCGCACGTTTCACTGATGCCATTTGAAAAGTGCTTCTTGGCACGCACACATCATCTGTCCGAATCATACTCATCGTCATGGTCAATCCACTGCTGGATTGAAGACCTCCCCCACGCGCCCCCCCGCCCCCCCCCCAAGCTCCCGACAACGCTCAAGATCCTGCGATGTAATAATCCACCCAGCACCCGCACACGAACGATTTCGACGCTCCATCTCCCCAGTGGACGGTTCCTCTCGGCAGCGTTTCGTGCCGTTGTTCGTTCCCTGGACTCAAAGATCCGTTGATGTCTGCCGATGATGCATCGATCAGGAAAGGCACGCATCTGCTGCGTGTTCTCTAAACGCGTACGTGTTGTCAGTGGGTGAATGCGAGCGCGCGCAGTGTGTGTGTGTGCGCGTGCAATGTGTGCATGCAACTCGGGAGCGGTGGCGCAGTGGTTAGCGCGCTGCGCTATGAAACCGGAGCAACCCGAGTTCGATCCCCGCTCGCGATCAGTGCTGAATATTTGAACCGTTTCTGAGCCTCCCCTAGGTCGACTCGGACCTTAAATGAGGACATTGGTGCGATGTGTAAACATCGGCTCTGGGGAGACAAAGGCGGTTGGGGGCGTGGTGTTGGCCACCCACCCTCGTGTACCGTGCTGGCTGTCACCGGGGCTCGCTCACAGCACTTGCCCCAACAGTCTGTTTAAGGCTATACGGGGGTTGCTTTGCCTTTGTAGGTATGTAAGTATGTATGCGTCTGTGAGTATGCATGTATGAAAAGCGCTAAACAACTTTTTGGATAATGGGGCTTAATGAATCGTGCTTAGATTTATGAATATATTTATATGAAGCCCTGCCTATTATTAGAGTCGTTCGTGTTAGTGTAATAATCGTTAATGTATGTGATGGGGTTTCTCAAATAGCCTTACATGAGCTTCGTGTGCCGATGTGCTTTTGTTGTTTGAATTTCACTCTCTTACCGCTTAGCCAGCCGTCTTATATGCAAGTGATATATTACAAGTATCCTGTTTACTGCTGCCTCAAGGCAGGCTCGATCTCAGTTCAGGATAACCACGTGTATATTTAACACACTGAGATCCAATTCACGCACATTCGTATCTACACGTGTGTGTCTGTGTGTCTGTGTGCGTGGGGGAGGGGAGTGGGGAGCCGTGGCGCAGTGGTTAGCGCGCTGCGCTTCGAACTCTGCGACGCGGGTTCGATTCCCACTCACGGTACACACCAGTGACTATTGCCGACTCAGCCTCAAACGAGTACCTGGTGCGGTGTGTAATCATCGCCACTAGGGAGACAAAGGCGACCGGGCGTGGTGATAGACATCCCCTCCACCGTGCCGGCCTCCTTCATAGGTGCTCGCGGACCGCACTTGTCCTGTTAAGAGGCTGCACGGGAGAGATTGTTCTCTTCTCTCTTCTCAACAGGGAGTTGTGTAAAGATGCATCCTTTACCAAAATTGCCACGACCTCAGACAGGGAGGGAGAGAGGAGCGCTCCGCGTCGGCATGTTTTGTCAAAATCGCTCGAGCTGGCCCACACTCTCATTTGCTTTGAGTCCTGCAGTCCGTTTAATACGTAATAAAAACGCGGCCTTGAGACCCCGAGATAGAACTCCCTCATCACCCCACCCCACACCCTCCCCCTCCTCCTCCTCCTCCTCTCTCCCCGACTGTCGCGGCCGGAATATCCACCCAAGGGGCTTAGTTGTGCAAGAGCGTGGTTTGGGATTATCTGGTCAAATAACAGCGGGTCACATCGGGCAATGCACTTTTGTATTCTTACGTATAATCTGCCATCGTATGCCCTCTTTATATTTAAAATATTTGAGAACCAGTAAGCATGTTCACGATTTTTATACCCAATTCAACGTGTAGCTAATTTTTACCTTTTTTTTTTTGCACGAATGCGACCAATTTTGTTGTTGTTTAATTTTAATGTTTGGCGTGATGTCACAGCTGCGATTCACTGAGAGGCAGTCATCAAAGGGGATTAGCGTGGCTTCGAGGGGACATTCATATGTTGGCTCTGCAACGCAGCGAGGATGCATGCACTTCGGGAGCAACAGGGAGGTCACAGAGACGAGAAATGACATTCAAATCGTCGTCATTGTCACCATCCCGTAAAGCAGATGTCAATAATCACAACTCCATTCTGTGTCTCTGCCACGTAAATTATTATTATTCCAACGAGGAAATGCTAGCCTTTGGGATAATTAATGAATTAATGCAATAGATGAATCAATGAACGAATGTCAATTGAATGAATATATTTTAAATATACTTGTTTAATGGTAACATAAACGAGTCACACCCCCCCCGCTCCCCAGCGGTTGAGACACTGAAAATCGAGATACCACTGACAATCCAGACACCACTGACAATCCAGATATCACTGACAATCCAGACACCACTGACAATCCGGATACCACTGACAATCCGGATACCACTGACAATCCAGACACCACTGACAATTCAGACACCATTGACAATCCAAACACCACTGACAATCCAGACACCACTGACAATCCAGACACCATTGACAATCCAGACACCACAGACAATCCAGACACCATTGACAATCCAAACACCACAGACAATCCAGACACCACTGACAATTCAGACACCATTGACAATCCAAACACCACTGACAATCCAGACACCACTGACAATCCAGACACCACAGACAATCCAGACACCATTGACAATCCAAACACCATTGACAATCCAGATACTACTGACAATCCAGACACCATTGACAATCCAGACACCACAGACAATCCAGACACGACTGACAATCCAGACACCACTGACAATCCAGACACCACTGACAATCCAGACACCATTGACAATCCAGATACTACTGACAATCGAGACACCATTGACAATCCAGACACGACTGACAATCCAGACACCACTGACAATCCAGATACCACTGACAATCCAGACACCACTGACAATCCAGACACGACTGACAATCCAGACACCACTGACAATCCAGACACCACTGACAATCCAGACACCACTGACAATCCAGACACCATTGACAATCCAGATACTACTGACAATCGAGACACCATTGGCAATCCAGACACGACTGACAATCCAGACACCACTGACAATCCAGACACCACTGACAATCCAGACACGACTGACAATCCAGACACCATTGACAATCCAGATACCACTGACAATCTAGACACCATTGACAATCCAGACACCACTGACAATCCAGACACCACTGACAATCCAGACACTACTGACAATCGAGACACCATTGACAATCCAGACACCACTGACAATCCAGACACCATTGACAATCCAGACACCACTTACAATCCAGACACCACTGACAATCCAGACACCACTGACAATCCAGATACCACTGACAATCCAGACACCATTGACAATCCAGACACAACTGACAATCCAGATACCACTGACAATCCAGACACCACTGACAATCCAGACACCACTGACAATCCAGACACCACTTACAATCCAGACACCACTGACAATCCAGATACCACTGACAATCCAGACACCATTGACAATCCAGACACAACTGACAATCCAGATACCACTGACAATCCAGACACCACTGACAATCCAGATACCACTGACAATCCAGACACCATTGACAATCTAGACACCATTGACAATTCAGACACGACTGACAATCCAGAAACCACTGACAATCGAGACACCACTGACAATACAGACATCACTGACAATCCAGAAACCACTGACAATACAGACACCACTGACAATCCAGACACCACTGACAATCCAGACACCACTTACAATCCAGATACCACTGACAATCCAGACACCACTGACAATCCAGACACCACTG